CCGTGGGCTGGGATGCGAGTTTTGAAGACCACCCTGCCACTGGCCAGCAGCTGCATCTTCTGGAGGTCATCATCAGAGAGCCACGGAGGAGTGTTCTCTGCCACCTCCTGCTGCCTCCTCCTTCTCTGGCCAGGAGGCCGGTCCCACTTCAGGCGAGTGGGGGGCACAGGGAGACTTTTGCTGCAGGCTCGTCGCCTGGATAGAAGAGCATCCACCTCCTGCCGGGAACCTGGGGGAGATGATGTTGGCAGAAGCTGGGGAGAATGGTCCAGTGGTGGAGTCAAGTGGGCAAGGGCCAGCAGTGCCAGGGCCAGCAGCAGCCCGAGGGCCACTGGGGTGGGGGGCTTCAGCCCTGTCCTTCGCCACAGCCGCTGGACCTGTGGGGAGGGAAAGGGAGAGAATTACTGGGGGTCCCTATGAGGTGCTATGGCCAAAGACCCCTCGGATCTGTCCGCCACTCCTCCAGTCAGAGCTTTCAATAAGCTTAATGGGGTTTGCTTTAGAGGAGCAGCCTCTCTGCTTGTGTGCTCCCTGGAAAAGGTATTCCCCAAGCACTGTAGCTGGCAACAGGATTTGTGCCAGAAATTAGCTGCAATCCTGTCAGAAGATGGTCATAGCAAGAGCTGACCTGCCACAGACATTGTCATACCTACAGTGGCAATGTACAGGATCACCCCACGGGTGATGAATTCTTTATGATCAAGTATTTTGCTTTAAAGACAAAAGAAATTGAAATTAAATAAAAGAAAAAACAAAAAGGCCAAACCAGAGCAAATTCCTGGCTAGATGCAAATGCTTTTCAGTCTCTAAAAAGTATTTGTCTTCAGACTTCTCTCTGGACACTCTCAGTGGTTCCCATCCTGGTTGCACATTGAATCCATAACCTGGATCCCCATGCCCTTGATCACAGGACATCTCAATGTGTGTCGAGACAAGGCCTCCAGAGCTCTGTCCATCACTGTGTCTAGCAAAAGCAAGGCAGCTCCAACTGCCAGCCTGTATTTAAGAAAGGATGCAAGCTGCTGTATCTGAAACCTAAAATATTTTGATTCCTGGCACCAAGGAATTGCCTTTAGACAGGTACCACCAAGTTTTGATGTATATATCTTTATATACACAGCTTGCTTTCCCCCCTTTTAGTCATACTTTCCACTCCAAAGAGACTTACAAAAATTATATAGGCTGGAAACACAGTTAGGAGCAAATCCTCTGCAAGTCTCCCTTCATTGCAAAGCTCGTACCTTATCTTGGGCCTAAAGGCACCCCATGTGTGCAGTGCTGGGGCTCGCCTGAGCTCCGGTGCTGTACTCGCCCAGGCTCAGGCAGTCTAACACACTTTGAGGGGCTGGAGAGGCAAAAGGCACCTTGACACCATTTCACTGCTGTATAACAGGCGATTCCAAGTGGCTTAAACCCACAGTGGAAGTCAAGGCAACATTCAAGTGGATACATTTTTTTTCGATTATTTCTTTTGGAAGCACAAGTACACCCATGGTAGGCACAGCAGGACAATATACTGCCAAAGAAGGGATGAGAGATTGCTTATAAGATAAAAAGCTTGGGGTGAAAAAAAATAGCTAAAGAGCTAAAATGCTGGGGATTGAAAGCCAGCAGCCAGAATGACTTCCAGAAAGCAGATGGGTGAATATAAGCATTTCCAGCTGTGTCGCTTTTAGGACTGCAGGCTCCCACCAGCTGCCCAGCATGAGTCCTGCCCTGAGAGGAGCTGCCCCAGGCAACCCCACTGCCTGAGCCCCTTCATGAGCTGATCCAGCACTAGGAATTATAGAAAGCATTGGGTTGGAAGGAACATTTAAAGGTCGTCTAGTCTGACCTCCTACCCTAATATACATCAGGTTTTGTGCCCCTCACTGCAGGGAGGCTGCTTCAGATGCCACATCCCTCCCAAAGACACTGCATCAGCCGAGGTGGATAAGAGGACCCACAAAGCCACCGACTTGATACCAGCAACTATGGGTATTTTCCTTCAAGGTGTCCCTCTCAAGGACTGAGCAGATTTGATGCGGCTTATAAGAGCTAGAGATGGTGCATTTGGAGTGATTCAGCCTTATAGCTCTCATTTGATTGTTTGTCTCCCAGAAATACAATGTAGTGCAGCAAAACACATCCACCAGACCAAGTTCTTTGCTCACACGTGGCTTATACTGGCCTCTGCTGGGATCTGGGGCTGTCTGGTGTGGGCTTTCAGGTCCTGCTAGGGGATCACCTGTTTTAACTCTCCCTTAAGGGCCCAGAGTGAAAAGGAGCTAGTCCAGGGTGAGGCTATTCAGAGAGCAATGTCCTTTCCTAGATCACAGTCAGGGCTTGGTAGCAGCAGGACGAGGGGCAATGGTTTTAAACTAGAGCAAGGTAGATTTAGATTAGACATTAGGAAGAAGTTCTTTACTATGAGGGTGGTGAGATATTGGCACGGGTTGCCCAGAGAGGTGGTGGAGGCCCCATCCCTGGAGACATTCAAGGTCAGTCTTGATGGGGCTCTGAGCAACCTGATCTAGTTGAAGATGTCCCTGCCCAGTGCAGGGGGGTTGGACTAGATGACCTTTAAAGGTTCCTTCCAACCCAACACGTTCTATGATTAACTGTCCCAGGCAACATACTACACAATCAAATTATTGCCTCAGGCCCCTTTCCAGGCAGGGGATGGCCTCTGAGCAGCCCTGAGGGAGAGCAGAATTTCTGGCAAGTGGCTGATCGTGATGCTTCCCCGGCCCTCTGCTGCTTGGATGGGAGAAGGATTTGCTGTAGAACCACAGCTAACCCCAACTAGCACATGTACTACCTGAGCTCAGCTACCCAAAACATTCATGTCCTGGATTTCAAGCAAGCCCTACAGCATGCAGACACGTGCTTATTCCCAAGAACCCACAACCCAGGTCTGGCATCCTGAGGGAGTGTTTAGGGGAGGTGTAATGTCTAAATCACAATTTAACCATAGTAAAATATGGCTGTGGCATAAAAGCACTGGATCCTGATATCTTGATATCCTTACTCCTTCCAACTCATTACACCATAAGTGCTTCACAGTCTGTCTCTCCAATCTCAAAGTACATTGAATTAACTGCAATTACATCTATGGACTTAATCCTGATGGACAGGATTAACTGTAAATCTCCACTGCATCCAGCCAAGTTCCCTCCCCAATTCCTTCTTCCCAGGCACTCATCCTGGTGCTTCCCCAGTCCTATCCCTCTGGAAAGACACGCCCCACATTGCTATCAGCAAAACTCACTGTACCCCTCTTCTTCTGCACAGAGGATTTGCGGGGTGATCCACCTTTGGACACTCACACCATCCCTGGGTGTGCATAGAGCCAGGCTGCCAAAAATCTGAGTATCCTGGGAGGGGATAGGGATGTACATGCAGGAGCCATTTGGAGAACCTTGGAAATACTGCAGGAAAAAATCCTTTTTAATCCACATCTGGAGAGCAGTGGATGCCAAATAGATGGCAATGGCTGCTGGGCTTTAATGCCAAGTCAATTCACAGTCCAAGTGGTTAAGGAATCATTTTTGTCCAAACCCACTTTGTCTTCTCCATCAGCAAGCTCAGGTTTGGGCACTGTAAGTTAAAGCTTCATTTCTTTCCCACCCCAAGCCTGAAATATTGTGCTGTGAAGCTCAGCTCCCTTCCCCGGTCCCATTCAGTATTTCCCTGCCACATCAACAACGAAAAGAAAAAAAAGTGCAAGTACAGTCTCTGTGTTATTGCTGGCAGTTGATACTGCAAACTTAATAATAATCTAGACAATAGAACATTTTAGAAATAATGTTGCATTTACAAGCTCAAGCTGAATACTTTTCCAAAGAGACTTTCATTGAGGCCAAACTAAAAAAATGCTGCAGTTTAAGCTATGGCTCTGATTCAGCCTGAAATGCCAACCATACATACAGCTCTGCTTTGCCAGACTGACATCCTGACGGGACAGCACGTCTTCGCTAGGAATTAGGTCCATTTCCTAGAGGGCAACCTACAAGCAAAACCCATAAAAAGGCTTACGAGAGGTACTGTTTGTTCCAGGATGCCAATAAGTAAATTATATCCTTGCTCGTCAGAGGGACATAGACCACAGCCCAGGCTCCCAAAGGCATGGTAGAGAGCCTGTGCAGCCAGGCCACATGGGGATAAAACTTTTTAAGTTGTTTGGGAGGATTTTATCTTTGACATTGTATTCCCGGGATGCTTGAACCTTGGCAGAATTTGAAGAAGAGAAGTATGTTTTCAATTCCTTTTTAAAGTGCATCAAATTGGCTTTGCTAAGCTTGAAAGAAAAGAACAAACTCCAGACTTCCAAGACGGTAAGAAGCAGCCCTAAAACTAGAAAGACGTCATGGAAATATGTGGCCTTTAAAAGGAGGTTTCATCTCTGTTTTCCTCTAGCATCCAGAAGAAGGATCCTGCCCCTGCACTAGCACCACCAGACCCCTCCAGCATCCCAAAGAGGTGACCAAGGGAGCCAGGATGGCTCAGCTATGGCCATGTCCCTCTTGGCTATCTGCCTGCCCCAAGGTCCCAAGCACAGAGGACTTTGCTGAAGGCCACCAGTGAGAAGTTTAAAAGCAGGTATGTGCATTATTTTTGATGCACACTGTGTACGGTGCATTTTGCAGGAGGGTGCAACACACAGAGGTGTACTTACTCTCCCAGCACCGTGCTTGTTGCTCACTTGATGAACCACAAAACCATCTGAGCAGCAGGAGACACAGCCTGCCATGACCATGCTTGGAGGGCAACAGGGAAAAATCTTCTGGCTGCCCCCACCTCCAGGAATGTCTCCAGAGCCTTGTACCCACCACGTGGTGCTTGTATCGGTTCCTGGCAAATTGGGAAGAAGGGCTCAGAGGAGGTACCTCAACCTGATTCAGGAGGGGAACAGCCCCTTTCTTTGGTTTTAACGTGGAATTCTTTCGGTTTGTTGAGGACGTGGCACACAGGGTAAGGTCATGCGGGTACCTATAACCTTGCTGAGGACATGGAAAGAGACAAAGCCCCTCCACCCCCAGAGTGATTGGGCAAGCCCAAGCAGAAGGAAATCTTTGGCAGCATCCGTTATCCATCATTCAAGTGCTTAAGTGCCTTCCTATTTCATCCTGTTCAGGGAAGACAGATGGCTCACAGAGTGGGAGTTTACTAAAGACAGCTATTAAATGATGACTTCCAGCCTCAAAGGTAGCCCGAGATCTGAACTGCTGCCCAGGAGGGTAGGCCTGCTGTGCTCCCCCAGCACATGGGTACAGCACCAGGTCCCACCACCACCCACATCACTATGGGGTGTGAATAATAGGTGGTCCTTCATCCGGCCTTGTGGTACATGGAAGTGGCCATAATTCCTAGCAGACCTGCACCAACTTTGTGTCTG